TGAAAAGAAAGACTTTTCATATGTTTTACTAGTAAAGTTTCGTGAAATCCGGTGATTTATTGTAGGGCAGTGTATATACAAGACCGATCTAGCATCAAGATTATTTAAAAACCGACGTTAAGGTCACTAAGTGTCGTTTATAGGTTTAGTGAGATCAGAGGTAGTCAAAAGCCTCATTGGAAAAAGCTAAATCTCAAGGTCGATATACGAATGCTCTCCTGCGTATATTGATCGAGACGGGAAATATTCGTCTAGACCTGTGGTTATTGTAGCGAGTCATATGCGTAGCAGCTAATACAATTATAATTCGTATAATCGTTAATCACACAGGCCCATAATAAAGTACGTTTACATGATCAGTGTATGTTTTGCTAGCTTTTGTTTTTTTTTTATATAGCAGGATTTGAGCCCAGGCTGAATAAAAAGCCAGGAAATATATTGTTCGAATAGGTCAAGTGATATATACCTTATCGTATTTTGACCATTTTTGCATTATTACGACATCTTCCGCTTTTCTGGCGAACGTTAAAATTTTATTTCTTACCTGATAATTTCGCCAAACTTTGACACAAGTTTTTACAGAGTGCAAGCATTTCCCGAAAGGCTGTGTGCCAGAAAGTAAGTTTCACGATCGTGGAGAAGTTTGTTTGTGCGCTAGGGGCTAATCCTCATACGGAGTACAGATCCCTGACAAACAAATGTGCTGTGTATGCGTACTATTTATATTACTTGGTGATCAATTTCCTTTTCCAATCAATGTTCTCTATAAATAGCATTCCGAATTTACTAGTACCTTTATTGTCCGAATAGAACTCATACACATAAATTTAATTCCTATGCACTGTGTTTAATAACACAATTGATTTTATAGGCTGCAGGACGTTTTACCTTTTTGCGGGAACGTGCGACGCCAGTAAATGCAATATGCCAATAATGGGAAAAACAGGAACGAATTACGGTCTAGTCCTTGTTATACAACGTTAAGCTTGCTTTAACGTTTGTTCTATTGTTATTACATTTATTTCAAAAGTACATTAGTAAAAAAAAAGAAGCAATTAGGTAACAGTTTAATAACAACTAAGTATCAAAAAAGAGTAGACGCTTTCCGATGAAAAATGTAATTGACGATGCTAATCCAGCTCCATCGCGAGCAATTCCACTCCAATTGCCAGTAAGTTTAGCAAGCAGTATATGCGCACCTACTATATGAAAAGTTGCCAAAACAAACAACATTATCATTAAAAACATGCTACAGAAATTGTTTAGGTGTGCATATTCATTTGCACTCGTAAACCAAACTGAATGTTTCTCGTGTGATTTACATATTATGAAAATTAGTAATGGTGATAAGACTAATCCGACTGCATATATTATCCATATCCAGTTCAATGTATATGTCATCTTCATAGTCAAAAAAACTAAACCCGTCCACCCACAACCGGCCAGTAAAATTGTTACAAATCCTCCTAGAAGTGTATAGAACTTGTCTCTTGACTTGTCAGCATCCGTGGGTCCTTTAATCGCCTTTTCAGCATTACCAGCATCAGAATTATCACCACATTCACTTCCCGGATAATAACTAGTATTCACATTAGTAGACGAAGATTTCGAATGAGATGGTGTTTTGATGGGTGCGTTTGCTGTTTGACTGCCTCTAGCACCATCATTCAGCATCTTGAAACTCCATGGTGTAAGCTGTCCGACTGCAAGCAGCAACACTGCCAAATCCCCAGAACAGTGAAAACATGTATAAATGGTTGGTCCCAACGTCATAGCGGCTGCGATAACTGCCATCCATGATGACTGTGACTTATAATAAGGCTGGCAACCTCGCCAGCAAGCGAATAGTGTGAAATTGGCGTACGTTAACGAAATTGCTAGGATCGATAGGGCCCAGCAAACCAGCCCAAAATATCCGTATGGTAGTCCATAGCAGTTTGCTTCATGTTGAAGCTTATATCCTAAAAATATTGTGGTGTTGACGTCAAGCAATGTAAATGGCAAGGCTTTTTAAAATAGTCAACTGATCAAACCTGGATTATTATTATTGGGATAGACCATTTTCGAGATATGTTCGCAAAAAATGAGGGGAAAAAATTGCTTACTCTCCTGTGTTTATATATTCTACAATTGATAGAAAACACGAATATATTCGGACTTGAAACACTAATGCTAAAAACACTAATTCTAAATGTAGTATAAGTGTTACTTGGATCGTTATGGGATTGGTCATCTTCGTATTAATAGAAATTTTGCTATCAATATGTTTGTTCATCCTAAACACAATCTGCTGATCGAAACATCCCGTTTTAACAGGAAAGATCAACGATACTAAAAAGGTAAACTATAAACAATTGCAGTAGCGAAAAGTATAAGCAGATGTCAGTGAGTACAAGTGTCAGTGATAGAAGGACGGCAGAGTGTTTGAATAATTGAATGCTGAATGTCTCTAACTATTCTTCTTATACCCATACGAGGCCAGTTAATTAGTAAAGGGATGATTTTACTAGCGTAATAGTAAGAGAACCAAGAATAATTTAAAATAGAATACCAAGTCAATTGTATTATAAATTTTACGACAAAGCGATTTAGTTTCATCTAATTTACACTATTAATAATTGCAAATGTTGTAACACGGTAGTTCCGTCACACGTACTTGATGGTATCAAAATATTCCATTGAGTGATGTGTGTTTGTACGGCTGTGCTGTATAGTTATAGTATAAATGCTTTAAATAATAATAGTAGTAGTAGATTTCAAAATATGGTCTAACTGATTAATTATTATATTAATACTCGTAAACGGTATAATGTACAAACAATATTTTCCTATTTTATTATATCTTTGTTTCACGAAACCAAGTTTATTTTTCAGTCCAAGAGTTATCGGAACGCTATGACTAAGTTTTAATCTAGTAAAATCTCTTTACGTAAGTAATAATGTAACTTGGTCGTCCAGAAACAGTTAAACAAATCCTCGATTTATGATTGTGCAAAAATATGAATCGGTTTATTTATGTCGTGCATATCGGATAAATCCCGTCAAGGTACCCCAAAATTGAGAAGGGTTCCTAAAAGATTTTCTATCTGGATGTGACAAACGCTATGAGTTGTGTAATATAAGACGTGCTGTAATAGTATTAGCACTAACCCCTTGTGTTTCACCACCAAGCATAAGCTATTTTCACTTTCTTATTAATATGTATCATATAAATCTGTTTCTGATGTTACACGTAATCAATTCCTTTGTTGTATTGTCGTTGTTGTCATTGTTGCCATAACTGTCGAAGACATATATTAACGGCCTATTATCATATATTAAATTCTCGTTGTTATTATAACCGTTGTTGCAAAGTCTCAAATTATATGTAACTTTGTCGGCCCATGGAATAGGCTTAGAGTGATGTGGATTATGTATTGTGGGTTACAAGAAGAATTTCCCGACGGAGTCCGTGTAAAACGAATTAAAGCTGTGAACGTCATAGAAACAATCCTGGAATAAACAAGGAGGAAATGGACAAATGGATTTCTAAAATGGACGAATGAAGCCGAGAGTTTAGCTCGGGAATTGAAGAACCCGGTAATATTAACATTAAACAAAGAATGCGAATTTATGGTCACGCAGAAAATCATATTTTACATACCGCATATTTGTACTAAACTTGCATTTATTACCGTAGATGAAACGCTGACGAATTTTCCGAAGAAGAAGTAGCTGCTACACCAAATGTACCCATCCACCAATTATTTTTATATGATTTCTGTTCAATATTAATATATTGATTTACAATCAATAGAACTCGGTATGCAGAATTAGGGAGATAGCTGAACGGAACACGTAAAAAGGCGCGACTGGATATTCGCCTCTCAAAAGGAAAATCGATTTTCTTGGATCTATAGTCGCTGTTCTAATTCCATGTATCGATCGACACATTATGGATCGGCCATTACTACCTTGCAAAAAACAAATAGAAAATATCGGCTAGAATGTGCCTCTGGGATTTTGAATGTTACTTATGGATGTAATGACTTGAATTTAGTGGAAACCGCCGAATTCCCTGAGTTGGATGATATACCTCAGCATTGAGAGAGGCAGCAAGTGCCCAAAGTGTTGTATCGAGCAGATACGGCGTACTTGTAGAGGCGCATGCACTGATAGCCGGTGTGGTTGTAGAAAAGCAAAAAAAGAAATGTGACAGTCGATGTCACAAAAACTAGCGTTAATTGTAAGAATAATTGAAGTGTATACTTTTAATATTATATGAAAAAATAAAATTATATTGTTAATATGTTACATAAGTGAAATATGCTTGGTAGTAAACACAAGGGTTACATTATATGACTCGCAATCCGATTGAGACAAGAAAGATTTTTAGGGGCCATATCAATTTTGGGGTACTTATGCACGACATTTGTAAAACGTTGCAAATCAATTAAATAATGTGACCACAATCGATAACTTTAAAATTAACACTTCACCTGGTTGGACGGAAATTATCTAATTTTAAATCTCTTAAATAGTGTCTTCATCAATCTATCCTGACGATAATACTTTCTACACTCATACATATGTGTGACTCCAATGTCTTGCTAAAGTCGTTAATGCACTGTTATATTGATTAAGCTTGAAATACACACTGCCTCTTTGTTCTCAACAAGAATACGTCATTTGGCCCAATCTCCAGTGTATTGTCATGTTTTCTAAATATAAAATAGGAATCTCCCAGCCACGCTCAGCCAAAATTGCATTAAACCAAAGTTTTTCTGATTTCCCAAATTTTTGTTATAGCATAAGCCGAAATTTATTAACAATTTACGTTAAAGGAAGGCCGGAAATTTTTTTATCTCAATATACTAATACCGAAGTTATTACCTCGTTTTTTTAATCCCGTGGTTGAACCAAACTCATTTTTTGCACCGTCTATACATAGAAAACAATTCTTTCGCATGCCATCGTCATGTTACAATCAATAGATTGACTGATTGTTATCGAGGTAATCAGTGATCTTCAGACGCGTCGATTTGCCTTTTCCAGTTACAGAATTTCGTCCATCTGCGTCAGGTCGTTCGAACACACAAGGTATACGCCGACAATGGAGTCTATAAAAATTATCGGAATCAGAAGACTTCCCAATAACCAAATTTATTTCTCATAAATCAGCTCTTGAACATGTCAATTATTTGCTTTGTATATTAGTCAAGATTGCGACAATTTATTCGACCTAACATTTCACTAAATTTCGCAATAATACCAATACTAAGCTTACAGTAATTGAGACTGAATTCTAAATCTACAAGCCTATTTTATGTGATTGAATTGCGCGCTTCCTAACTCCCTATACGAGCTTCAGTCACTCGTAATCCAAATAAGGGTACCCACGATAGAATAACAACAACAATTAGTCTACCGCAGAATCAAGGGGGAAATAAATCTATTTAATAATTAAACAGGGCTATCTTCAATTTGGTGTTTCGACTAGTCGGGTTCTCTAATAAACTAATTAAACAATTTTCGTTTCAATAAATAATTATTGGCTCTCGTTTCTCAATTAAGAGTAATAGATCAACGGACGTTTACAATATGAATAGCATTAACAACATGAACAACATGAGAATTCGACGATGGGATAAGGGCCGCTTATATACCTTTAGCGACACTCAAAAATCGAAACGGAGCTAAAAATAATTAAATAATCGTAATTTCTCCAATCATATTCTAAGTTAGCTAATGGCGTTTGTGTTGACACTCAAAAATCGACACGGTGTATCTGACACTGAAAATGCGCGACGCTGTCGTTTTTTGCTTGACTGCTAAGGAAGATTTTACCATGTGACTTGCTTATCTGAGTCATGCCGTAACAGCACAGTAAGTTTACATGAAATTTTTTAAGGTTCGACTTTTGGCTTTGCTGGGTCAGCATGTCCAAAAAAATCACATGGTCCAATTAACTCCCATGTTGCCACTTGCCTGGAATCCTTATGAGAAAGATTTGAGAACTACAGCTGCATGCACTTTTGCTGCCTTTAAAAAGGCTATTCAGAACCTGAAAACATATTATGAGAGTGAATTACTTGCACAATTACTGCAACCTCTACAAATTCCAGAGTTTCCATACAAGTGTGATTATAATGATGGAGATGCTACTGTTTATTTCGAATATGTGTCACAACTTATAACTAAAATGACATGGGCAAAGACATTTACATCAAATTTATTCAGCAGATGCTCATAATCATTGCGCCAACCAAGGTTATGCACCTCGTCTTCATAGTTGTGAATGTATTCCTAGTGGGTGGTTAATGGCAGTCATGAATGCCATAGATCTGAATGTACTATATATTCCACCTGTGATCAATGTTCTCGCGGCTTTCTGTCTGTTAAAGTTAAAAGCAAGGTTAATGATATTGTTGAGCACGTGACTGGGTTCGCGTAGTTCTAATTTCTTGGTTAGAATTAATGGAGATAATAATTTACCCCCCTTGTCATGTTCATAGACTTCGACTGGGCAAGGGAAGGAGATTGTAGTACAATATCCCCTTGACATTAACACATCACTGATGTGATAGAGTGAAAGGTGGCGAGCTCGTCACAAAAAAAGCACGATTGTGATATGCTCATAATCATGTGGAAAGAGTTATTGGATTAAAGCTGGGGGGTTTTTTCCAGAAGACATTTTCGGCAAACAGTTTAACGTAATTAGGTGACATCGACGCGTTATAGCATAGACGCAACCGAAAATCCTTTCACGATGAAAAATAAAACAACTCTGCAAATCCCGTCATGATTTGCGATTAAGAACATATAGTGAGTCGTCATAAATATCCGGAATTTAATCTCACAAATAAAATATTTTATTTTCATTATTTTTGTATGCTTAAATTTCGTACAGTTACTAACTATGTACAAAATTTCTTTTTTCCCTCCCACTCAATTCCCTCCGAAACGCGATTTTTCATACTATTCGCTAACCTAAGAGATTATCACGAATTATTTTTGAAAGTCAAGCTTTTTTTTATTAACCGCTAATTTACGTTTTTCCCTTAAATATTGCCCACAAATTC